AAAAAAAAAAAAAATTAACTGAGCTGCAGCTGAAACCAGTATGGGAATGCCTGGGTTCTGTGGAGAGAAGGAAAGAATAACATTTAAACTGATTTCTAGGTCACTTGGTGTCCCGAAATTTCTGTCTCAGGGTGTATTTTTAAACAACTAAAAACAAAGTTTACCCTAGGGAGGAGAGTTGCTCTGATTTTGGCAAGCTCCTAATTAGCATACTAAATTTCATCAGCCTGTGGGCAAAGCTGACTGGAAGAGTAGCTGGTGTCCTCTTCCACTCATCAGCCACAGGGGGGCAAACCAAAGGTGCCACTGCTTAGACAAGCACCAGGGCAAGCCTGGGGTTCAAACGATTTTGCAGTCTCATTGAATAAGGAGGCCCTGCGCTTCCCCCAACATTACCTCTGAAATTTGGAAACTCCAGGTCTCCTCTCTAAACAGTCTGCCAGTGACTTGAACTTGAGAGTCCTTGAGCCCGCTAAAGAAACATCTGAGCTCCTGAGAATGCCCAAGCACAAAAGGTCAGGAGACCCATTTTTAACAAGAAGCCTTTGGCAATGGCAAACTGGCCCTGCTGGGACCAAGAGCCAGTACCTAGTTGGCACTTGCTGTTGACATTTGCCCTCAAGAGCTCTGGCCTCTTATGACACTGTGGGGAATGGGGTTATTTCCCAAGTTTCTCTTGGGCTTTCTTTTTCTCTGAATCCTAAAGGTGACCATGAAAGACTAATCTGGTTTAATGTTTGCCTCCATCTGAGTTATGTGTGTGTGTTTTAATTCTTATTTACATTTCTCAGAAGGCTCAACACCAATGGGATCCGAATCAATAATTACCATAGGTTGTATCTAACTCCTCTGGGATTAGGCACAGGAAAATCAAAATCAGTTTTTAAAAGATCGGAAGTCCATGCGATTATGCACCCAGCCAAGCGTCCAGCACTCTTAAAAGTTGACATCTTCACTAATTTTCTCTGCACCTACACATGACTCAAGAGTACACACTCCATTATTTTTGGAAGAGACTATGGCACCAAAGCCTGGATTAGCTAATCCGAGGGAGAGGCTGTTATTCCAAAGAGTCTTCCCACAGTGGGGTGGACATCTCCTCCAGTACCTGAATACTGTTGTGTATCCTGGTCTCTCACTGCACAAATGAAAGACATTCCAGATGGAAATCCAAACCCATGCCTCACTATGGCACATGACTCCTACCTGTTTGAGCCAGTCTGGGTTAGCATCCCAAAGCAGAAACTTGTAGTCAGAGACCACTGCCACACCATTCACAAGGCTCTGCTCTTCACCAAAAACCTGAATTAGAAAGGCTTGGTGTAGCTTCAATGTCACGTACAAGTGGAGAACTCCTTTGATCTAATCTACAGGAGAATCTTCTTTTCTGAAGACAGAAGGGCTTACTCTCTTATGACAAGCTTATCCCCAGCTTTAGGACATCCTGTTCCCTGAGATGAGGCTGGAGGTGGAGCCACCAGTGACTCCTATCAGTGTTTCACAAAGGCACCTCTTATAAATGAAGATGTTCACGAACCGGAAGACTCATAACTCAAGCAACCTAGGCTACCAACAGGTTAAGGTTATCAAAGGCAACATGTGTATCATGTTCTTAGATATTTTAGAAACTTAACTGGTTTAAAATCTGATTGGTTCTATTTCTAAGAGCCAAAGACAATTAGAGACAACAAGCTTACATTTCTTTTTAAGAGGAAATGATAAAATTCTTAAGATTAGCTTATATTTTATTTACTTTATTCTTCTATGCCTGATGCTAACACAAAATATTCATTAGGTTTCATCTCAAATCTATTTTGGTATTCTGTCACATGCCCTCCCTTTATTCCATCTTTACCTCTATCGTCTAGTTAATTATGATTTGACTATTTTTTTCCAGTTTTATTGAGATGTGATTGATATATAACATTGTGTAAGTTTTATTGAGATGTGATTGATAAATAACATTGTCGATTTGATACCTATATATTGAAAACATTTACCACCATAGCTAACACCTCCATCATGCACATAATTATCATTTCTTTATAGTTAGAACATTCAAGATCTCTATAAGCAACTTTCAAGTATATAATATAGTATAATTAACTATAATTACCATATTCATTAGCTCCCCATAATTTACTCATAAATGGAAGTTTATATACACTCTCTGACCAGCATCTCCCCCTTTTCCCTACTCCCTGGCCACCGGTAACCACCATTCCACTCTCTTTGCATTTGACTTTTTGGACTCCATATATAAATGAGATCATACGGTGTTTATTTTTCTCTCTCTGACATTTCACTTAGCATAATACTGTCAGGGTTCATCACGTTGTCACAAATGGCAGGATTTCCTTCTTTCTCATGGCTGAATAATATTCCATTACACACACACACACACACACACACACACACACACACACACACACACACACACACACATCTTTAGCCATTCATCCATTGACAGGCACTTAGGTTGTTGCCATATCTTGGCTACTGCGAATAATGTTGCAGTGAACATGGGAGTGCCAATATCTCTGCAATATCATTTTGTTTTGTTTTGTTTTTCATTTCCTTTGGCTGAATACCCAGAAATGGAATTGCTGGATCATACAGTAGTTCTATTTTTAATTTTTTGAGGAACCTTGATGTTTTCCATAGTGCTGTACCAATTTACATTCCCACCAACAGTGCACAAGAGTTTCCTTTTCTTTACATCCTTACCAACACTTCTTTTCTTTTTGATAGCCGTTCTAACAGGTGTGAGATGATATCTCCTTGTGGTTTTAACTTGAATTTTCCTGATGATTAGTGACATCAAGGACTTGTTGGTTGTGTATCTTATATAAAGAATGTCTATTTCCTCTGTCCATTTTTAATCAGATTGTTTTTTTGGTTTATATATTTTGTATACTAACCTCTTTATATATATATATGATTTATAAATATTTTCTCTCATTCCATATGTTGCCTTTTTGTTGATTGTTTTGTTGTACAGAAGCTTTTTAGTTTGATATAGTCCCACTTATTTTTGCTTTTGTTGCTAGAGCTTTTGGTATCATATCCAGAAAAATCATTGCCAAGGCCAATGTGTCAGGGAGCTTTCCCACTGTTTTCTTCTAGGAGTTTTATAGTCTCAGGTCTTATGTTTAAGAGGCCAAAGCTCTTGAGGGCAAATGTCAACAGCAAGTGCCAACTAGGTACTGGCTCTTGGTCCCAGCAGGGTCAGTTTGCCATTGCCAAAGGCTTCTTGTTAAAAATGGGTCTCCTGACCTTTTGTGCTTGGGCATTCTCAGGATTTAAGTCTTGAATCTATTTCAAGTTAATTTTCATGAGTGGTTTACGATAGAGGTCCAATTTTATTCTTCTACATGTGGTTATCCAGTTTTACCAGCTGCATATATTAAAGAGACTACTTTTTCCTCACTAAGTATTCTTGGCTCCCTGTGAAATATTAGTTGACCATAAGTGCAAATTTATTTCTGGACTCTTGATTCTAATCCATTGGTATATGTGTCTATTTTTATGTCAGTACCATACTGTTAATTACCATAGCTTTGTACTATAGCTTGAAACAGGAAGTGTGATGCCTCCAATTTATTCTCAGGACTACTTTGGCTATTCAGGGGCTTTTGTGGTTCCATACAAACTTTAGGATTGTTTTTTTCTATTTCTGTGAATAACACCATTAGAATTTTGATAGGGTTTGCACTGAATCTATAGATGGCTTTGATAGTATGGACATTTTAACAATATTAATGCTTTTGATCCACAAAGATATCTTTCCGTTTATTTATGTCTTCAGTTTTTTGGTTTTTTTTTTCATCAAAGTCTTGAAGTTTCAATGTATAGATCTTTGACCTCCTTGGTTAAATTTATTCCTAAGAGTTTTATTGTTTTCAATGCTATTATGAATGGTATTGTTTTATTTCTTTTTTAGATATTTCATTGTGTAGAAACACAAATAATTTCTATATGATAATTTTGTATCCTTTAACTTTACTGAATTTGCTGATTAGTTCTAACTTTTGGTGGAGTCATTAGGACTTTCTATATATATATAAGATAATATCACCTGCAAAGACAAGTTTACTTCATGATTTAGATGCCATTTATTTATTTATTATTGATTGATTGATTGATTGATTGATTGACTGCTCTGGCTAGAACTTCCAGTACTATGCTGAATTGGTGGGATGAAAGTGGGCACTCTGTTCCTGTTCCTGATCTTAGAGAAAAAGCTTTCAACATTTCACTGTTAAGTATGATGTTAACTGTGGGCTTATCAGATATGGCCTTTATTATGTTGAGGTATGTTCTGTTCCCAATTTTCCGAGAGTTTTTATCATGAAAGTATGTTGTATTTTGTCAACTGTTTATTCTACATCTGTTGAGATGACCATATGATTTTTATTCATTGTATTAGTGTGGTGTATCACATTGATTTGTGTATATTGAATCATCCTTTCATCCCAGGGATAAATATAAATTGATCATGATGTATGATCATTTTAATATCCTGTTGAATTTGGTTTCCTAGTAACTTATTAAGGATTTTTGCATCTATATTCATCAGGGATATTCATCTGTAGTTTTTTTTCCTTGTAGTGTCCTTATCTGGCTTTGATATGAGGGTAATGCTGGCCCTGTAAAAGGAGTTTGGGGGTGTTCTCTCCTCTTTCATATTTTTTTTGCTAGTTTGAGAAAGATTGTCATTAATTCTCCTTTAAACATTTGGTAGAATTGACTACAAAATCATCTGCTCTTGGGCTGTTCTTATTGGGAGATTTCTGACTACTGATTCAATCTCCCTCCTTGTTATTTTCTATTTCTTCATGATTCAGTCTTGTTAGGCTGTATGTTTCTAATAATTTATCAGTTTTTTCTAATTAGAAACTAGAAATTAGGTTATCCCATTTGTCAGCAAATAATTGTTTGTAATAGTCTCTTAAAAATCCTCTGTATTTATTCAATATGTCATAATGTCTCCTCTTCCATTTATTATTTATTTGAATCTTCTCTTTTTTTCTTAGTTTAGTTAAAGTTTTGTCAATTTTGTTTCAAAAACCAGCTCTTAATTTTGTAAATCTTTTATGTAGTGTTTCTGGACTTTTTTTTATTTCTTCTCTGTTCACTGTTACTCCCTCCTTTTGCTAACTTTGGACTTGTTTGTTCTTCTTTTCTAGTTCCTAGAAGTGTAAAGTTAGATTGCTTGAGATCTTTTTTCTTAATGTAGTTGTTGCTATAAACTTCTCTTAAAACATTTTATGCTGCTTCCCATAGGTTTTGGTATGCTGTGTTTGTTTTTATTTTTTGTTTTGTTTTTTATAACTCAAGAAATCCCTGCCTTATTCACAGTTTTGCTTTCCATGGTTTCACTTTCCATGGTTTCAGTTATTTGTGGTCAACTGTGGTCCAAAAATATTAAATGGAAAATTCTAGAAATAAACAATTCATAACTTTTAATTTTTTAATTTATAAAATACAATTCATAACTTTTAAATTGTGCACCATTCTGAGTAGCATGATTAAATCTCATGCTGTCTTGGCTCCATCCCTCCCAGGATGTGAATCAACCTGTATATCCACACTGTATATATCACCTGCCTATTACTCACTCAGTAGCTGTCTTAATTATCAGATCCACTTTTGAGGCATTACAGTTGCTTGTGTTCAAGCAAACTTTCTACTTAATAATGGCCCCAAAGCACAAGAGTAGTCATGCTGACAATTCAGATATGCCAAGAGAAGCCATAAAGTGAATGTACGTGTAGGAAAAAACAGTGTATCTTAGGGTTTGATACTCTCAGCAGTTGCAGGTCTCTACTGGTGGTCTTGGAACATATCCCCCACAAATAAAGGATGAGGGGGTACTACATTTCCTTATTGATTTCTTATGTGGCCCATTGTTTGTTCAGAAGTATGTTAATTTCCACATATTTGTGAATTTTTCAACTTCCTGTTATCGATTTCTAGTTTCATACCATTGTGGTTGGAAAAGATATTTGGTATTTCAGTTTTCTAAAATTTACTAAGACTTGTGACCTATTATATGATCTATTTTGGAGAATGTCTGTGCACATTTGAAGAATGTATATTCTGCTGTTGTAATGTATTTATCTGTTTAATTAGTTTGATCTCAAGTAGGGTTCAAGTCCAATGTTTTTGTTGATTTTTTCTGGATGATCTATGCATTGTTTAAAGTGGTATATTTAAGTCCCCTACTATTATTATATTGTTATGTTTCTCCCTTCAGATCTTAGAATTTTCTTAATATATTTAGGTGCTCCAAGATTAGGTGTATGTTTATTTACAATTGTTATATCTTCTTGACAAATTGACCCATCTGTCATTGTAATAATGACCTTGTCTCTTGTTACCATTTTGGCCTAAAGTGTATTTGTCTGATAGTTACTCCTGTTCTCTTGGTTTCCACTTGGCATGAGTATCTTTTTCCATCCCTTCTCTTTGAACCTATGTGTTCTTAAAGCTGAAGTTAGTCTCCTGTAGTCAACATATAGTTGGGTCTTTAAAAGAAAAAAAAAAAAAAAGTCCAGCTACTCTGTCTTTTATTTGAGAATTCAATCCATTTACATTTAATTATCAATAGTGCCATCTTACTATTTTGCGGTACCTTTGTTTCTTTCTTCCTCTTTTGCTGCCTGCCTTTGTGAACTAATGGTTTTCGTAGCGGTATGCTTTGATTCCCTTCCCTTTATCTTTTGAGACTCTACTATAGGTTTTTGTTTTGTGGCTATCATGAGGCTTACATAAAACATTTTATAGATATGTCTATTTGATACTGAAAACAATTCAACTTTGCATACAAAAATTCTACCCTTTTATTCTTCCTTTTTGTTTTTGATGTAAAAATTTACATATATTATGTATCCGTTAACAAATTATTATAGCTATAGCTATTTTTAACTTTTGTCGTTTAACCTTTATATTAGAGTGAAATGGTTAACACATTCCCATATTATAGTATTAGAGTATAGTGAATCTGATTATATACTTAACTGATGTGTTGTGTATTGTCATGTTACTAATTAATGTCCTTTTATTTCAGCTTAAAGAACTCCTTTCGTCATTTCTTGTAATCCATGTCTGGTGGTGATGAACTCTCGCAGCCTTTATTAGGTAGTCTATCTCACCTTCATTTCTGAAGGACAACTTTGCTAGGTAAGGTATTCTTAGTTGGAAGGTTTTTTCCTTTCATTACTTTGAATATATCACCCCACCCATTCTCTCCTGTCCTGGCCTGCAAGATCTCTGTTGGGAAATATGCTGATAGCCTTATGCGGGGGGGGCCTTATATGAGAACATGTTTTCTTTTGCTGCTTTAAAATCGTTTTTAATTTTAGACAATTTCATTATGTTTTGGAGAAAATCACTTTAGATTGAAGTTTTGGAGCGACTTATTATTTTCTTAAACTTGAATGTCCAAATCTCTCCCAGGTTTTCAGCCATAATTTCTTTAAATAGCTTTCTATCCCTTTCTCCTCTCTTCTCTGTGACTCCAATTATGTGTACATTATTTCTCTTAATGGTGTCCCATAAGTCCTATAGGTATTCATTCCTTTTCATTCCTTTTTCTTTTTACTCCTCTGATTAGATTTTAATTAATCTATCTTTAAGCTCACTGATTATCTTTGTGCAAGTCTGATGTTGAAGATCTATATCAAATTCTTCAGTTATATTCCTCAAATCTGTATCTTTTTTATGTTTTGTATTTCTTTCTCGTATGTCTCATTTTGTTCTTGTTTTATTTTCCAGGCATTGAATTTTTTGTGTTCTCTTGTAGTTCTCTGAGCATCTATAGAAGTTACTTTGAATTATTTGTCAGGCAATTCCTGGATCTCCAGTTTTGCAGGGCCGGGTATTGGAGGTTTACTTTATTCCCTTGGTGGAGACGTGTTTCCCTGATTCTTCATGATTTCTGTACTCTTGTGTAGGTGTCTGTGCATTTGAAGGAGTCAGCTCTTCCAGACTTTATGAACTGCCTTTGGTAAGTGAAGATTTTCACCTATGCGTGGGGGCACACAACAATTATGCTGTAGTGTGCTGGGTCTAGTGGTGAAGGGTGCCAATTGCAGGGACATGTGGCGGCAATGGGTCCGGGGGGCAGGGACATGATGTCTCTTTGGCTCAGGAGTCCACATCAGCTGTGTGGTCCTTGACGAGTGCTTTGGGGAATCCTCAGAGGCTGCAATGGTCATCAGGGTCCTCAGTGGCACCTCCAGGTCCCACAAATAGGGAGTAGGAGAGGCAGCAGTGGTGATCAGACCCAATGGTATACACACACTAAGTTGAAGGGGCCAGCTAAAGGTGCTTATATAGTGGCAGGGGTGAGTTGTAGTCACACATAGTGGTAGACACCAGTGCTGGCAGCAAGGGCTGGGGCCAACTGTAGGCACCCTGGCAACTGCGAGGGCTCTGGCTGTCAGTGTGCACTACCATAGCAGCTGGTCTGGGCACAGGCACATGGCAGTGGAGACTGGTAACCAGGTTTGGACCAGGGGTGTAGGCAGGTGCACAGCAAGAAGGACTAGCTGCAGGTAAGCACAGTGACTGAAGACAGGACTTGATCTAGACCCACAAGCAACTGTGGGGCCCTGGATGTTGACATGCTCTCCCGTGGCTACACAGTCTCCCCCTGGGTATGTGCACAGCAATAGAGGCCAGTGATAGGTGTCAGGCTGCAAGTGCGCAGCTGAGGGGCTAGCCCCAAGCACTCGCATGGTGGTGGGGGTCAGCCGTGGGAGTTTAGGCTGGTGCCTTGCACTAGCACAGCTGCAGAGGCCTGGGCTGGCTGCTGGTGCGGTTCCTGGGATCTAGGGAGAGCCAGCAGGGGGTGGGGTGAGAAGAGAGCAAGTCGGGACTCAGGTAGTTAATGTCAGTGAAAACAAATACCTGTGGGGTGAAAGCTGGTGAAATCTGCGGAGTCCACAGCAGCTGGACTGCCTGTTGGTTTTTTCAGTGGCAAAAGCTGTTGGATGTCGGCAGAGGAGGTCACTGGGAGCTGTGAATGTAGCCGCTATGTGCCTGCTTCTGGTAGGCCCTGCTTTTCTTTCTAGTTCTTAGCCATGTATATCTCAGCTTTGCCAGTCACTGGGTAGAATGAAACTTAAGTGGCACCTTCGTAGGATGCCCGAAAAGGCTGGGGAAACTGGTTGCTCACCCCACTCCTTTCCCAGTGAGAAGACCTCATTCTAGCTGGGAGTTCCCTCTTGGCACTAAGCAATGCTGGCTTGGTGCCAACATGGACTCCAGAGCTGTTTCTGTTCATGGATAGCTGTCTAACTGTTGATCTTGTGGCTATGATATCCTACATTGCAACGTCTTTGCAGATGTATGATCAAGGAAGTTACCTGCTACATCCCTTTTTCTTGGGCTACTAAGCAGCCTCATCTCTAGCTGCCCAAGTCCCACCACTTTCTGACAGTGAGCAAGTTATTTTCTCTAAACATTCATTTCTTCATGTGAAAAATCAGGATAATTGTGGTAATTATAGTTCCTGAGAGCTTCTTACGAGCTAGGCATTGTTCTGTGTGCTTCCCATGAAATAACTCATAACAATTTTATGAGGTAAGCATTATTTCTATTCCCATTTTAAACAGAAAATGATGTACAGACTGGTTAAGAAACCTGCCCAAGGCCACACAGTAAGTGGTAAAGCCAAGAGGGCAGTGGTGGCAATTAAACTGGACAGTGCATAGCAAATGTTTGGCACAGGGTCACAGTGCATAGCAAATATTTGGCACAGGGTCTGGCACACAGCACACAATACGGGGTAATATTACAGTCAAAACCTTGGTATTCCTTTCTGTTAGGAAAAGCTTAATTTTCCTACCCCTGTGGGAGAAAGACCCAGACACTTGTTCTCTCTGGTTCAGTGTCAAACTAAGATCTCAGTGAGGCTACCCACTCTGTTATTGTGATTCCTGCAAGTCTGGTCTCACAGGGGTTGGCAAACCTTTTTCTGTAAAGAGAGAGCTATTTATAGGCCAATCATTGTCGCATATCCTTTTAAAAATTTCAACCCTTAAAAAAAACAAAACTCATGGGCTACAGTTTGCCAACCCTTGCTCTCCACTATTATTAAGAGAATCATTAAGTCATGAAAAGGCTTTCATGTGGAGTAGATGGAGCTGTCAGAATTTGCTAAATCGCCTAGTTACACTTTTAGTGAACCTCACCTACCAAAAGTTGCCAAATCATTTCATTAAAATGGTAGATGACAAACTTCCAAAGGGGAGGGAGGGTAAGTAGGTAGGTAAATCCAGAAATGCCTATCTGAAGAGTTTTTTCTAAAGCAATAAATGAAAGGAAGAGATAAATATCCCAGGAAAATTATAGTGTTTTAGAAGCAGCACAGAAGTTCATTCATGCAACAAATATTTAGAAGTATTTATTGGGTAGCATGGTTCTTGTGATGGGATTTTAGAGCTCAAAGGGACCTTAGAAATTATCTGGTCCAATCCCCTTGTTTCATGGATGAGGATTCCAAGGTCCAGAAATTCAAAATGACATGGCTAGTTCCATTCAAAATTAGATACGCTTTTTATGTCCCTCAAACTTAGCACTTACATAAATGCTATTAAATGTTTATTGAGTGGAACTTATTAATGGAAAGCTACTGTTCTCAGTACCACCATTAAGCCATCTTTTAAATCTGGTAAAAACAATACATTACAATTGCTTTTAACATCTATTGAAAATCCTTTTTTGCTGCATTTCACACAGTTTTGGTGTGTGTAAATGGACTAATGAGCATCAATCATTAGATTAACAAGTCTCTGATTCACCTTTAATTTCTCCTTTCCTTGAAGGCTCCCATCGCCTCCACTTCTGCCATTTTACCTGTTCACATACTATTTCCATGGCCGCCACCCTCACTGCTCTCAGTTGCTGTCTTTCTGCTCTGCCCTTTCCACTCCAGTTCTTCCAAACGTACCTCCATCCGCACCTTCTTAAAACCATGCTCAAGTCAGATCACTGCCTCTGTCTCCTACCCCAAGGTTCCGAACATCTTCACAAATCTTGACTATCGACTAAAGTTCCAGTGCTGAGCCTGCTTCCTCAGTCTTATTTACCACTTTATTTCCTCTGATGCTCCATCAAATTGTTCCTCACTGTCTTCTAGATATGCCATGTTCGAACCTTTGCTCAGGCCACCCCCTCCACGGGAAATGCCTTTTGATCCATCACCACCTTCACAGCCTCCCATTCATCTTTCCCGCCCTCTGCTCCCGCACCCTGCCTCCTGCTTTCCTCTCCCTTTCCCCAGCACTTAGTTCCACATTCTTATGGCTGGAACCAAGTTTGACCTTCTATTAGGTTACCTGGGTAGGTGACTTAATTCTTCTACTGAAAATAAGCTACCCATTCTGCAAGTACAATAAGAAATAGTTTTAAGTTAAAACACCAAATTTATTGCGTAATATTGAACTATATGCACATACATAGAAAATAAACAATTCATATAACTGTATATCTTTTTTTTTAAATCTTGTATTATAAAGACTGGAAAACTACCAATATAGCAATTGGAATAAGTTTTAAAAACAAAAAGCAAAAATCTACAGTCCTTCATTGAGATTGGATGCTATATCACGGTTCATAAATATCTCATTTTATATAAATAAGTCTTTTCTCTAGTTACTAGGAATTTAAAATTAGATTGACATGGATTCTTTGATCATGTAGAATTTTATCATCCCATGATGAAGGTTGAGCATGTCATTATTTTTGAGAGATATATATATTTTCTTTAAACACAATCCCCCCTGAAATCCCATTGTAAACAAACATTTCAAATGCAATAAACAAAAGTTCCATAATAAAGAATGTCCTTAAGTCTTAGCAATTAGGAAGAGGAAAAAAATCTGAGTAGAAATTCTGCAATTTAAATAGAAATTTAAAAAAAATAGATTTCATGCATCCCCTAGAAGGAGAGGGAGGGAGCATTAAGTCAGGTAACAAAGAGTGGGATGAAGTGACAGAGAAAAGTAAAGAAGAAGGGAGAAAGGGAGGAGAAAGAGGAAAGAGAAAGTGGTAAAGGACAAGACAAGAATTTATTTCTACTCTTCTTGAATACTCTTTAAAAAAATTAACGCAACTTGCTCCAAAAGCGAGGGAAGGGAAGAGGTTGGAGCCTATCACCTCACCTTATTGTCCAAGGGACTTGGCTGAGCAACAAACAAAATTAGGCTCAGCTGCCACGCTAAGCTGCTCTGCACATCTTTAAGGAGGTCCAGAAATAGGCAGAGCCATGAGGAGATTGCTAATCCCTCAATAACTTTTTTTTTTAAATAAAATATGTTCGTAAAGGCTCCCATAATTTCTCAAGAGTTCAGCCAAAGTAATGGACCCGGATTCAGCTGGTTGGAATTGGGAATTTCTGAAGTAGTCCTCTCCTCCTTAGTCCTTAGAGTAGGGCTGCAAGAAGCCAGCGACATTTCCCAGGCTGCAGAGAGAGGAAACGTTCTGCATGTGCGGTTATGAAAGGACAGATCAGTCAAAACCATTATTGCAGAGGAATGAGGAGTTAAGAGAAGGATAAGGAAGCACTGTGAGGAAAGATCAGAGCTTAGAGGGATATTTGGGAAATGAGAATTTAAAAATCCACTGCCATTCTATCCAGCAGAGTGAAACATACTCACAAGTGCAAGGAACACTCAGTAATTTGGTTTAAAAAGAAAAACACCTCCCATAAGAGAGCGAAGTTTTCACCACCCTCCCCTCCCCAAACTGATTTTTCTAGAAGGTTGCCTACTGCTTACAACCCCAGGAACACATCAACCAGATTGAGGATTCAAAAGTCCCAACCTACTTATACAATAAAAAAATAGAGCTCACTCCCCATGATTTTCTGTATAGGCCTCAATGTGGACACTGAGGAAGGAAGGGCAAGCTGGGGAGCCTCAGGCCAAACTAAACCCCTCATAGTTGTCAAGGGCCTGGGTCAGCCGTGCACTCAGGATCTCTTTGCTGCTGTACTTGGGGAGATCGAGGAGGTTGTAGCAAGTGTGGGCCACAGGCAAGTACTCCTCTCCACTGGCTGTGGACTGGATGACAATTTGCAGGCTCGCCATGCCATAGATGGGAATCCGATCACTGCCTGTCAGGAACACTAGGGAGAGAAGGAATTGGCATTACCAGCTATGCACACGGGGAGCTGCTCTCAGCAGTCCTCCTAGGAACAGAGAGGAAGGCACGACACCCTGTGGCTCCTGTGAGAAGTACAATCACTTTCATGTGCTAATATGTATAGCATTAATATATGCTCATTCTTATAAAGTTAAAGAGACTGCCTTTCAAAATCTCTTATATTAATAAGAATTCTATACTATTCACAGGATAATTCTGGACCCAGATTATACAGTGACACAAATAATAAATGCTCAAAATGCCCTCAAATGTATGCCCTCACAACTCTCATAAGCCTTCACAAAATCAAAGGGGGAAGAAATTACTGACATAGGAGAAAAGGAGCTGACCTCAGCGGGAAACCAGGAAGAAGACGATGTGACCTCAAGGCCTTCTCATATCTTAAGTGTCCGGTGCTTGTACCACGTTGGCTAGTGAATTTCCATTATGATCTGTTTCCTTTCCTTTCCCTGTCTCTCCATGTTTCTTAAACCAGAAGAGCTGACACTGACATCATTAGACATTTCACTCTTGTGACATACACTGTGGCTTTGCAAAAAAAGAGAGAGAGACGGACCCAGCTGTCTTTCCCTGTTTTCTGACACTAGATAAGCCTCTCATGGTTGAATTGCTGGATATTATACTACATGAAATCATTAGTCAAGGAGCACTTTCAAATAACCTGCCATTACCTGAGGCTGTGACATATAAATATTCTTGCCAAAATCTGTGGAGTTAATAAAAATCTCTATAAATCTCATGGTCCCTGAACAGGAAAATGTCTTCTTTTAAGGAAGTCCCTAGGACCAACAGCTCTTCTTGTCACACCCCTACAAACTCCATTGGCAAACCTTAACCTGTCATTCAACTCTCATGCCGTTGCTTCTCAAGAGCCTAGAAAACAGGAGAAGTGGGGCTCTTTTTAAGATCTCTATTTCTTCCATGTGAACAGTAGAATCTGGGGGTAAATCTTACATTAATATGTGCTTATTCTTATAAAGCAAAAGAGACCGCCTTTCAAATCTTATTTTTTCTTTCAAAATGGATAAACATTTTATACTATTCACTAGGTAATTCCTGACTCTGATTATACACTGACACAATTATTTTTAAAAGGCTGAATTTGTTCATGTTGACTAAATTTCATTCTCCTTTTCGAATGTATTATTATTCTCAAATGTTAGCCAGTTAGCCACAAAGGACCATTTATTGTATCATTCCATTTATATGAACTGTCCAGACAGGCAAATCCATAGAGACAGAAAGCAGACTGACGAGGAGGTCAGAGGTAGGAGGAAACAGGGAATGACTGCTGATGGGTATGGGGCTTTTTCTGGAGGTGATGAACAACATGTTCTAAAATTGAGTGATGTTGACTGATGTTGTCTAAAATTGACAACCCTGTGAATATACTAAAACCCACAGAATTGTACACTTTAAATGGGTGAATTGTACGGTTTGCAAATTATATCCCAATAAAGCTACTATAAATCAAGTTATATATATCTCAAGTTATATCAGCAGTAGACTGTAATATTGTCAAAGTCTAGAGAGCTAAAGGAGGCTAATCTAAAGATTTCATCAACGTTATACTTAAAGAAATCACATATATAAACTAACTAGCACTTTTAGAGCAACAGAAAATCAGTGAAATGATGCTTTTCTTCCTTTCATGCAATCCGCCCTGTTAGGCAACAACTATGGATTAACAACCTATACTATGCCTGAGACATCATTATGACAAAAACTATAAATATATTTACTTATTTAATGTTTACCATTTAAAAGACTTAGAACTTTATCTATACCATATCCAAAACTAAAATGTGGAAAATACCATATTGAAATTATTGATACTTACAGAGAAACTTCTTCTTCTTTTCTAATGGGAATTCATGAAATGTTTCCCAAAATAGTTTCACAGTGGGATGTGTGGCTGAATAATCCCCCTTGTAGATGGCAGTCTGCCCCAAAAAAAGACAAAAGAAAAAAAATGTATTTTACAGAAGATTATTATAGTGGACATTTGTATACCGCTTGCATTCAAGAGTAAGAAATAACCACTGAGATGCAGGAGGCCTCCAGATTCTACTGAACCACAAAATGCTTGGAAGGAGACCAGACTCTAGGCACACCTCCCAAAGGTCGCTGCTGCTTCCTGGGAGGAAAAAGATGGAACCTTTGATGCTTACCTCTTCCAGTTCCTCCCAGTTGTAGTTGCTGCTCCCCACCATCATGGCCCTCAGTTCTGAAGGCTGGAAGAGCTCAAGCACTTTGCCACCACACACCTTTAGGAAGCCGCTGGAGAAAGCTGTGTACCATTCGTGAACTGAGATCTGGAAGATGTAATTCACATAAGCATCCACAAATTCCTGCCTGCCAGAAAACCAAAGAAACAGAGTATATTTAGCACAAAGTCTTGTAGAGTTTATCCAGATCCCCTTCTACACTGAGTTTGAGAGTGATGAAAATGGAATTTCATCAAATTCTCATACCAGGAGGCATCCTAAGGCATCATGTAAGTTACTGCCCAGCCCTAGGGTTCCAAGGAGGAGTCTTGGGTGATCTGGGAACAGGGGGGAGGTCAGGTAGGTAAAACCGTGCTACTGACTTTATTTTACCTGAGGCACTCCAGTTTTCATTTTGTTTATGATCCTGCTTAAAACTTAATTGAGAAAAAAAGTTTTTTGCTTAAAAGAAAAAGTCTAAGATAATGTTACTAGGCTACTTACCCTCTCTTCAGAAACAAATAAGGCCGAACACTGTCTGATATTTATTTCCTCACATATTTTAAAAGGCAATGTCATAACTCCTTTCTATGAATCCCTTAACCGCCCCTTAGAAAGAACTGACTTATACAATGGCTCCACCTCACTAATAATCAATCATATACAAATTAAGACAAAAACTGTAAATGTATTTACTTATTTAATGTTTACCATTTAAAAGAGTTAGAATTTTACTCTCTTACTGTGGAGTATATCATCCTACTGGAGTATATCTAGTGGGTGAATTCTCATTTCACCCACTAGACTGGCATAAATTTAAAAGTCAGAATATCAATGATGGGTAAAGATGTGAAAAAATGGGACCCTCATACACAGCTAATGGGAAGATAATCTATGAAATGACAACGAGAACCACATATAGCCAGTATGGAAATAAAGATCAAGCAAATGAGAAAAGCAAAGGCGACTGATTCAGAGCTATAGCAAAAGAGTCAGCCACTGTCATTCATGTTATAACAGACTCAAAAACAGGCAGAAAGGCAAAAATGCTTTAGAGTGGAAAAAAAGGAAGGCATCAAGTATTCCTTGACTACAGGCTGCTGGCATGGGCAAGCTGTAGGCGGGCTAACTAGAAGCTAGCATCCTATATGATTCGCTAGGAGTACATATTTCACCTTTTCTGATTGGTCCTAAGTTGGAAGAAGCTGTCAGTTATTAATCCAGTCCTGGCCATTTGGGGCTGACTGTTACAGAAGTTATTGACAGGGACAGCAAGCTGGCTTCCTGGGCAGGTTTCTGCAGGTTACAGGTCAGAGTTCTATTTTTATATACGGTTTGGCCATTGTGTGTGTGCATATTCAGTCTCTCTCTGGGGAATGTAAACTGTGAAATGCAACATAAACATCTGGGAGAAAAAGTTGCCAATATCTAGAAAAGTTGAAAATATAAATACACTTTGACCCAACTACTCTATCAGGTGGCTGACTCAGAGAGACTCTCACGTGAATGCACAAGACGATGAGCACAGGGATGTTCGCTGCAGCATTTTCTTGTAATATGGAGAAGTGGGAGAAATAAAACTAAATAGCCACCATTACGAGGATGGATGAAGACGGTATAGTCGTATGATGAAAACCATAACTCAGAGCACTGTAATGAAATTAACTAGATCTATATTTATCAAAATGAATAGAGTCTCAACAATTCTGAGTGAAAACTAAATTTTTAAATGTTAAATACAACATAGCATTTACATAAGTTGTTTTTAACGCTTAAAACAACGCTACCTATCAGGCAGTGGCTCTGCCATTTAGAGATTGTGACTCTGGGGCAAGTTATTTACTCTCTGTGCCTCAGTTTCTTCATCTGTAAAATGGAGAGAATAAAAGAACATCACTCATGAGACTGTTATAAAAATTAAATGAGTTAATACATGTAAAGTTCTTAGAAACAAAGCTGTTTTGGAAATGTTAGCAATAATTATATTGTTAATGGATAAGAAATTTTATTTATGCATGTGAAATTATATCTATAATATATATGAAATGTGTTAATTTTTTTAAAGTATGTGAAAGATGTATGTTAACACACATTTAATATAAAAGTATAAAAACATGAAAGAATACACATAAAATTCATAATAAGAGTTTTGTCTATGTAAGAAAGGAGGGTGGGAACAGGAGAATGGGATTTAGGGGATTATAGAGGAGGAATTTCAATGGCATCGGTATTTTTTAAATTTTATTAAAAAATCTAAAGCAATATCTGTTTACTCTGGATCATAGATATAAAGATGCTTATCATATTATTATTTGCACTTTTCTGTATTTAAATTTTTTCTCTAAAAATTTTTAAAAATGAGACAGCCACATGCAAAAGAATGAAACTGGACTCCTATTTATACCATATTCAGAAATGAAGTCAAAACAGAATAAAGACTTGAATGTAAGACCTGAAATCATAAAATTCCTAGAAGAAAACATAGGGATAAGCTACTCGACATAGTCTTGGCAATGATTTTTTGGATTTAACACCAAATGTAAAAGCGACAGAAGGAAAAATAAACAAATGGGACTATGTCAATCTAAAAAGCTCTGTACAGCAAAGGAAACCATCAACAAAATGAAAAGGCAACCTACTGAATGGGAGAAAATATTTGCAAATCATATACTGTTGAGGGGTTAATATCCGAAATACAGAAAGATTGCACACAATAGCAAAAAAAATTTTTTTTGATTAAAAAATAGGCAGAGGAACTGAATAAACATTTTTCCAAAGAAGTCATACAGATGCCAACATAGACATGAAAAGGTACTCAGCATGGCTAATCATTAGGAAAATGCAAATCAAAACCACAATGAAGTATCACCACACATCTGTCAGAATGGCTATCATCAAAAAGACAAAGAAAATCACAAGTGTCGGTGAGGATGTGGAGAAAAGAGAACCCTTCTGCAATGTGTGTGGGAATGTAAACTGGTGCAGCCACTTTGGAAAACAGTATAGAAGTTCCTCGAAAAATTAAAAATAGAATTACCATATGATCCAGCAATTCCGCTTCTGGGTATTTATCCAAATGAAACAAAATCACTATCTCAAAAAGGCATCTATACCTCCATGTTCACTGCAGCATTATTTACAATAGCCAGGGCATGGAAACAACCTAAGTGTGCATCAATGGATGAATGAATAAAGAAAATGTGTGAATGGATAAAGAAAATAATACAATGGAATATTATTCAGCCATAGAAAAGGAGACTCTGCAATTTGCAACAATATGGATGGACCTTGAAGGCATTACGCTAAGTAATATAAGTCAGACAGGGAAAGACAAATACCATATGATCTCACTCATATGTGGAATCATCAAAAACAACAACAAACTCATAGATACAGAGAACAGACTGGTGGTTGGCAGACTTGGGCGGGGTGGGTTGTGTGTGAGTGAAATGGGTGAAGATGGTCAAAAGGTACAAACTTCCAATTATAAGATAAATTAAGTCTGGGCATGTAATGTACAGCATGGGACTATAGTTAACAATACTGTGTTGTATATTTGAAAGTTGGTAAGAGAATAAATCTTAAAAGTTCTCATCAGAAGGAAAAAAAATTGAGATTATGTGTGGTAATGGATGTTGACTAAACTTATTATAATGATCATTTTGCAATATATATATTTGCAATATAACGAATCACTATTTTATACTTAAAACTAATACAATGTTGTCAATTATATCCAAATTTAAAAAATAAATTTAAAAAATCTGACATCATAAAGACACTTTCTACTTATACTTCACTGTAATATAATACTTCATAAACTATATACATTTGAACATTTTAGGTTTCCTCCAAGCAAATATTTTTACATAGTCACTAACTACATGAATAATTAACCAATAGGCCATGTAATACAGTGGATAAGTGGGGCAGACGGGTTGAAATCCAGGCTCTGCTATGTTCTGTATGCTAATTACTAAACCTGTGTTTTCTCATCTTTAAAATGGTGTAGTCAGTTTTTAAAATAAAAGCCATGACATATAAAGATTATTATACATCTCAACCATAGATGCTAAAAGTTTCTCACACTGCATTTAATGCACTAATTTCCTGAAACCTATTAGGCAAAGCTAATATTTTTCTGGTACAACTGCCTAAGCCAAATACCATCAACATGATTTTTTATTACAGACTGCAATGGTTAATTTTGTGTCAACTTAGCCAGGCTATGGTACCTAGTTGTTTGGTCAAACACTAGTCTCGATGTTGCTATGAACGTGTTTTTTAGATGTGATTAACATTCAGACCAGAAGACTTTGTGTAAAGTAGATTAGTTTTCATAATGTGGGTGGGCCTCATCCATTGGCTGAAGGCCTCAAAAGACTGAGGTCTTCCAAAGAAGGAATTTGGCCTCCAGACTGCCTTTTAAGGACTGCAATGTCAACTACTGTCAGAAATGCTAGTTTGCCAGCCGGCCCCGCAGATTTCTGACTTGCCAGCCCCACAATCATATGAGATTCCTTAAAATATCTATAAATAGGCAGGCAGGTAGGTAGGTAGACAGACAAATATCCTATTCATTCTGTTTCTCTAGAGAGCCCTGACTAATATAGATTTTGGTACCAGGAAATGGGGTGCTACAATACCAAATACCTAAAAATGTGTAAGTGAGTTTGGACCCTCGTGAATTCCCTGTGAGGCCAATAGAGTTTTTGAGAATTTTCTACTTGCACTAACACTGCCAGCTTGTACCAAAGGGGCAGAGATGGGACAAAATAAAGGAAGGCTGTCAGACTTATGGGATTCTACAGGTATAAAATGAGCCAACAGAGCTAACTGGCTGCAAACTAGTGTTATCTTTCAAGAAAAAGGAAAGAATAACCCTAAAAGCAGATCAGAGTCCGGTGGGGCTAACACTGCCACCATGGGCACAGGTCAAGGAAGAGGACTAAAGGACAGAGCAGAGCCAAAAAGGATTATTCTTCAAGCCTTAAAGTCTAATGAAGTTTATCCTGATGGATTATGGACTAGCTTGGGATCTGTGACTCCTTTTCCCATTCTGATTTCTCCCTATTAGCATGGGAATGTCTATCCTATGTCTGTCCTACCACTGTATCTTGAAGCAGGTAACTTGTCTGGTTCATAGGTTCACAGCTATAGACTTTAGTTCTGTAGCTGTAGACTACAGTTCCTTTCCTCATGGCCCTCAGGAAACAACAACAACAACGCTGGCAACGCCTTGAATTTGGATATGAAAGAGGGAGGGAGGGAAGGAGGGATAGATTGGTTGGCTGATTTTATAAGGAATTAACTGATGCAATTATGGAGGCTGATAAGCCCCAAGATCTATAGTCAGTAAGCTAGAGACCCAGGAGAGCCGATGGTGTAGTTCTAGTCCAAAAGGTGGCACGACTCGAGACCCAGGAAAAGCAGATGTTTCCAAAGGCAGGAAAAAAATTGGTGTCCCAGCTCAAAGGCAGTCAGGCAGGAGAAGCACCTCTTACTCAGCCTTTTGCTCTATTCAGGCCTTCAACTGATCAGATGAGACCCACACACATCAGGAAGGGCAATCTGCTTTACTCAGTTTCCTTTACTCAGTTTCAAATGTTAATCTAATCCAGAGACGCCCTTGCAGACATACCCAGAGTGATGCATGACCAAATATTTAGGCACCTCATGGCCCAGTCACCATCACAGATGATTTTAGACTTAAAGTTGATGTAGGAATAGGTTAAGACTTTGGAGGATGTTGGAATGGGGTAAAGTACTTTAGAGGTGAGAAGGATATGAATTTGGGGGGCCAGAGGATGGAGTTTTATGGGTTGGATTGTGTCACCCTGAAATTCATATACTGAAGTCCTGACCCCCAATACCTTGGAAGGTGACCTTTTTTGGAGACAGGGTCTTACAGAGGTAATTAAGTTAAAATGAGGTTATTAGGATGGGTCCTAACTTGATATGACTGGTGTCCTTACAACAAGGGGAAATTTAGACACAGACATGCATAGAAGAAACACAATGAGAAGAGACATAAGGTGCAGACACTTACAAGCCAACAAGGGAGGCCTGGAACAGTTCCTTCCCTCACAGGCCTCAAAAAAAAACCTTACCAACACCATGAATTTGGACTTCTAGCCCCCAGTACCATGAGACAAATTTCTGTTGTTTATGCCACTTAGTCTGTGGTACTTTGCTATAGCAGCCCTAACAAACTAATACATAGACTCTAATCTCTCATGTTAATTAGTATTGCTCTCAACACATTCTATTAATAATAATCATTATCAGTTATGGAGTGTTTTACTAAGTGCTGTTCATTACAAAAAGTTCTTGGATGTACACTATCTTGGTTAATATTCAAAACTACCCTTCAAGTAAGTTTTATGGTATGAGAATTATGTCCCAATAAAAATAAATACATGAAAAAGACAACTTTTTGACGTTGATGTGATCATTACTCCAACTTCGGTACTGAATCTAAGACAAACAACTAGTATAAAGGCAGAGGCAGAAATTGAAGCCAGATGTCTGAGTACAGATCTATGCTCCCAACCATCTAACCAAAGTGCCCTCCTTTACCCCCTGCCTTACTTCTTTTCACTTCCAAAGTGACAGCTTCATAAGAAACTGTAATGTGCTAAGATAAACTCGATAACATGATATAGTTCATCTACACCATTCACAACTGTGTGTTTCTGCAGCCCCAGTTTACACTAGAGTCCATAAAACACACAAAATGAGACAACTCAGCGAGGTGACACAATTTTTAAACATAAATTTAAAAGAGGAGGTACTACATGCATGGCCTATGGTTTTTAGAAGTCTGAATCCAAACTCTAGTAAAAGTCGTTTTAAAACCTGTTGAACTAATTCAGAAATTTATACAGAAAGCCAAAGGAACTAGAAGAGCCAAAACAATTTTGAAAAAGAATAAAGTTAAGAGGACTCACATTACCTAATATCATGACTTTAAATATTATAAAGCTACGGTTACCAACTGTGGTATTGGTAAAAAGACAGACACATTAATCAATGCAACAGAATAGAGAACAGGCCCACATTCAATTAGCTTTTGACAAATATGCAAAAGCAATTCAGTGGAGAAAGGACAGTGCTTTCAATAAATGGTACTGGAGCAACAAAATATCCATACACAAAAAGTATATAGCCATACACCTCAAACCTATATAAAAGTTAATTTACTATGGATCACAGTATAAATGTGAAACTTAAAATTATAAAACTTTGAGAAGAAAACATAGGAACAAATCTTTATAGCCTGGGATTTGGCAAAGATTTCTTGGACACGACACTAAAAACACAATCCATAAAAGAAAAATCAATAAAAGAAAAATTTATCAAAATTTTAAATTTCTGCTTTTTGAAGACGTTGTTACAAAAATGAAAAAACAAGCCACAGACAGGAAGAAAATGTTTACAAAACATCTCACAAACAATTTGTGTCCCGAATATTTAAAAACATTTAAAAATTAATAAAACCTCAATTCAGAAAACAGAGGAAAAGACTTAAGGATTATAGATGAATGACACATAAGCACACTGGAAGATACTGATTTTCAAACATTAAGGATACCATACACGGTTACTAGATGGGGGGCGGTGAGGACAGACAACAATAGCAAATGCTGGTGAAGATGTGGAACAACTGCAACTCTCATACATTGCTGGTGTGGAAGCGAAATGATACAGCCACTCTGCAAATCAGTGTGGAAGTTTCTTAAAAAGTTAAACCTACATTTACCACTTCTAGATATTTACCCAACGGAAAATTTACATTCACACAGAAACCTGTAGAGGTATGTTAATCACAGCATTATTTATCATCACAAAAAACTGGAAACGACTCAGATAGGGATATTACTCAGTTATAAAAAGGAACAAACTACTAATGTACACAATACCACAGATGAATCTCAAAAGCATTATGCCAAATGAAAAAGGCCATCCTCAAAAGGCTACACAGACATTCTATTAATATGATATTCTAGGGGCAGGCGGGGGCTGGGGTGGGGGGAGAGACGGAATTATAGAAATGGAAAACAGATCAGTGATCACCAGGGTTGGCAGTAAGGAGAAAACCATGAGGGAATTTGGAGGGATGATGTTACTGTTCTACATCTCAATTACTATAGTATTTACAAGGCTGTATTTGTCAAAGCACTCTAAAAAGGCTGAATTTTATTATACATGTTATATCAATAAAAGATTTAAATAAATAGCCTAGCTTAACACTACATTTCAAGATTTTTTTAAGTTGAGAACATAAAAATACTAAAAGATGAGCACATCCTGGTTGTCTTGAGCAATTTAAGTTAGTCAAGTAGATTTGAATGAAAAAATTTTTTAAGTTTATCACACCTTCCATACTATGGGAGTTAGAGGACCTGGTTTCTGCCTGTTTCACCACTCTAGTGATAGATATAGTAATAGAATATTTATTTCACTTTATTTTTCTGCTTTTAAGTTCTCTATCTTTAAAATGAGATCAAGCATTCCTAACTTCAAGGTAGCTGCAGCCATCGAGAGATGATACATGGACTACATGGGTGGTATATGGAATATGTATAGTGTCAGCCAACTAAATATAGATATATTATTACATTAAATTCAGTCAGGGCTAAGACTGAAAGTTCAGCATGAACAATAAAACTCAGTCATCACAAATGGTAACAGGGAAGGAGAAAGTAAATTATCTAGAACAGAATTAAGAAATAATAGGAATCACAAGTACATAAAAAAACTAGGGTTTGCTAATGGAAATATATTGGGTCTATTCTATATGATTACTTTCTCTGGAGAAGAGCACAAAGATGTTTTTTTCTAAAAGAGGATTATTACAGATTGCTTCTGCATATTAATGAATGAAATATTTTGTAAAAAAAAATCAAAACACTTATTAAGTGCTTGCAGTATGTCAGCACTGAGTGTTTTATATATCATAACTAATATTCATAAGAACTAAAAGATAGCACCAAATGTACTTTGGGGAATAATTTATTAACATTCATATGCTTGATGGAAAAGCTTCAGCAAGTCCCTATACAGTGAAAGAAAAGCACTGAAATCAGTAATGCTGAATTTGAAAACATTCTTGAGGAATGGTCTTCTATATTGAAAATATGTCCCCTCATCCTTATTCAAGAAGCTGTCGTTTTTTGTTTAATAAATAAGGTAAGGAACTAAAATATCTACTCACAAGAGTTCGCTATTCAAGATTGTTTTCAATGTTCTCAGATACAAATCATAAGCAAGACTCGCAGAGCAGATGAACTGTGGAGTGCCTTAGGGACAAGATCTTTGTGTACACGTGTGTCTGCGTGTCCCCAAAGAACCTCAATACTAAATACAATATATACTTCGTCTTCAATACATACTAAATAAAGCCTTGCCCTGGGCCTCAGGCGTTAGAGGGCCATGTTCTCGTTGGCCCTCCTCTAGCCTTATTCCTCCCCACAGGCCAGGGATTTTGAGGAACCTTCTAGAACACATTCCAGAATACCCGGTGTCATGAGGTTTCCTACCCAAATAGCTCCAAAACTGATTCCAGGACCCATATTGCTGAATGATCTTGCCACCAGTATATATACCACTAGGCTAAGACATAGCTAAGGGCAGGGAGAGCAGAGGTGGGGGGCTTTTGGGTGGGCAGAAGGACATGCAAGCTGTCCTATCCACATACATGTACCCAGGTCTCAAAGAAGGTGATATGGAGTCAGTTCTCCCGTTTGTCCACTTTCTTGAAAGTAATCTGGAGAATGTGAGAGGTGATCAAAGCTGACTCCACACGAGTAAGCCAGAGATACCCTACCAAGGCAGACTAATGCCAGCTATAGGATGATACAGACAAAAGCCAAAACAGGTGTCTTGATAGATGTAAGGACCTGGGTGGTCCAAGCAGCTCCTGAAAAAGTGTCCCGGACACCTGCTGCCATTCCCGGCTCGGCTTTACAGCAAGGCAGGCAGGTGGGAAGACTTGGGGGAAGGTGTCTAAGCGACGGGTTCTGACGTCAGCTGCGATGCCAGGGTAGCAACAGGAGGAAGCTGGCGCAATACGCGGGCACGACCATCAGCGGATCCTATCGCGCCAGTCCAGGACCCGAGCTGAAAGGGCGGGGCCATGGCCAACGTCACCGCCGCGGCCGACGTCACCGCCACTTGCCGCATCCGCAAGATTGCTCTGGTGCAGCTCAGGCGCAGGTCTCCGCCAGAGCTACCTAGACCTCTGCTGCTTCTCTACCATGGCCGACTCGGAGAACCAGGCACCTGCGGAGCCGAGCCAGGCGGCCGCGCCGGAGGCGGCAGGGACGGCGGAGGAGGTAATGGCGGAAGGCGGTGCGCAGCGGCGAGACCCTGACAGCGCAGCCGGCGACTCTGACAGCGCTGCCCGTCAGACAGCGGAGGAGCCCCAGACTCCTGCGGAGAATGCGCCAAAGCCTAAAAACGACTTTATCGAGAGCCTACCTAACTCGGTGAAATGCCGAGTCCTGGCCCTCAAAAAGCTGCAGAAGCGATGCGATAAGATAGAAGCCAAATTTGATAAGGAATTTCAGGCTCTGGAGAAAAAGTATAATGACATCTACAAGCCCTTACTCGCCAAGATCCAGGAGCTCACTGGTGAGATGGAGGGATGTGCATGGACCTTGGAGGGTGAGGAGGAGGGGGACGACGAGGAAGAGTATGAGGACGAAGAGGAGGGGGAGGACGACGAGGAAGGGGAGGAGGACACTGCGGCAGAGGCTGCGGCTGCCGAAGACGAGGGTCCCCACTCCGCGGTGCCCGATGACGCCAGGAAATAAGGGGGGGCAGAAAGTGAAGAGGAGAATGACGACGAAGAAAACTGATTTTTTTTTTTTTTTGAATATTGGTGAACTTAAAAAGGCTCAGGTTTTGGACCAAAATACAATGTAAATCAATTCTGACATTCCTAAAAAAAATAAATTGAAGCAATCGGAGATCCTGGCCAGACCATTTCAAATTTTCTTTTCATTTTGAACACAAATATATCAAAAGGTGTAGAAGAAAACGAGTTAAATTAAAAATGATTTTTTTCATGGTCTCTTCTGTGAGGACAGGAACCGAGGCTTATTAAGGGTGTTAAGTAGATGTGAAGTAAAGAATGTCACTTTAAAGCCCATTCATCACACTATCATCACACTACACACGGAACACCCAAGCCAAGACTGAACATGTTCTCAGTGCTTAATTCTTCGATTTCTTTAGTTCTGAAATTTTCCAGTGCAGAAAAAGTAGAACTCAAGAAAAAACTCATCTATAAGACTTTGCTTTTGTAACCCAGACATCAGCTTTACACTTCAGAGAAGAGTGATGGTATGGAGGAAGGCTGTGATGGAGATCATGACAGTACTGTTAATGAGGCCTGGAAAACTGCCACTTCAAATTCTAAAGAATGTTTGAATGCCTGAATGCAGAGAAACAACATGGTTCTGAAAAGGAGGGTGTATAACTTGTATAATATTGTCAACATATGTGTTCATTACTTAGTCTCATGATTATGTGTTCTCTTGGTAGTGTCTATTTACAGAAGTGTTGAAAAAAACCCCAAATGTTTAAGTATTAAATCCCTTTACTAGCATTTTAGAAATCTTAATTTCTTAAAGAGATATAGAATGTAGCAGATTCTGTAAAGCATGTGTATCCGGTGTTATGTAGTTTGATCCTTGTGATGTCTTTTTGTCATGTAGCTTTTAGAATGTAGCTGTGAAAATTATCAGAACTCTTCACTGAAGCTAATGTTTGGAGAAAATACTTGAAGAACCAACCCAAATGTGTGTCCCTACCCAAGCTCAGAAGTAGAAAGGGTTTAAGTTTGTTTGTATTAGCTGTGCCTTCATTATTTTGCTATGTAAATGTGATATATTAAATATAAAATGGTGCAAAATCAAATTTTACTGCTTGAGGACAGACTGGCATATAGTTAAGGATTTTTAGGAAGGACACATTTAATGTAAAGACTTTTAGCTTCTTTGTGGGTTTTGAATATGTGTGATCCGGTGATGTATAAAGAAACAAGCATAAAATTGTTTACCACTGTGGTGTTAATAAAACAGTATTTTCGAAAAACAAAGGACTTGATACTGTGCCTGCCTGGAATCAAATCCCAGCTCTGGCTCCTATTAGCAATAAACTTTGGGCAATTCAGTTAATATATGTTCACTTTCTCCTCATATAAGGAGGAATAATACTCTCTTTCCTCACAGGTTATTATGGACAATAATGAGTTAATACACACAAAGCCCATAGAACAGTATCTGAAAGTGCTCAAGAAAGTTCAGTTATTATTACATGAAATATAGAGACACTGATTGGAAATTCAATCCCCATTCTCCCACAGTTACAAAAGGGTAGAAGATGGACATTATTATATTCTTAAGTTTACGATTCCTTATTGTCAGAAAAAGGGCGGTAGCTTTTAATTCAGAAACACAGGAGATTCTGTAAACTGTCTTGGTTTTGGTTTCTTCAATATAAAATTAGGTTTAGACTTCCTCCCAGAAAGGATAAATGACTTTAATGGGACATTATGAATATGTAATAAAGGCTATTTCAACTTTGCATTTGGGCATTCTGAATAAAGTAAAACTAATTTTCAAAAATATTAAAGCTGCCAAAGAATTTTTAAAACTTAGGTGCACTTTCTTCCATTTCCCTTAAGTGTTAAAATTGCACAGCAGCAAAATTAGACTGCTTTACCTGAGGGAATGGAAGGTAGCTCTGACCTGTTGCTAATGGCATTAGTTTAGTAAAACCCTAAGGTAATATTAATTCTCCTTAGGGCCAGGCCAACCAACAGAGAAAATCAAAGTAATATATAACATAGGAAGTCGATGGTTAAAAAGTCAGTGGTTATCTTAATCATATGATTATCTTAATAGAAGCAAAAACAAAACAAAAAAACAATAAAATTCAATATTCATTTCTTATCTCTAGGAATAAGATGTTGTCATTTAACATTTTTCTAGAGCCAGCAAAACAAAAGTGAATAACACATTAAGGGGCATAATTATTGGGTAAAATTTTTTCTTCAGACATGTGATTATATATAGAAAACCGAAAAGAATCAACTGAAATTACATTTAATAAGTATGAGGAACTGACCAGTTACCAGATAAATACACAAAAACCAATAACTCTTTCTAGGCACTATTAATGATAAAAATATAGGGAAGAAGCTCTCACACAGTACAATAAGAAATCAAAATATTTATAAAAACTTCTAATAAAAATATGTAAACATATATACAAAGAAATGTAAAATGGGCCTTTGAATGGTAAGATTAAATATACAAAAGTGTCAGTTCTTTCCAAGTTAACTTTTAATTTATCACACTTCTAATCAAAACCCAAACTACAACTGGAACTTCATTACCCTAATGGTTACCTGTAAAAATAGCTAAGAAAACTAGCAATATGGAAACAATTTGGATTTTTACCTTAGAATATGGACTTGAAAAAATTTTTTTTAAAGAAAATACATTAAATATTTAGCAATTACTGGACAGGGAAAGGCTAAGATTAAAGTGATATAAAACCAAAAAAACAATAATCAACAAACATAAAAACACAAAAAATAATAAATTATAAAGATTTAAACATAACAAACACTCATTTTCAAAAGCAAACAACAGAGAACCTGCAATAAATATGGATGGCAAAGAATTAACAGTCTTAATATAATAGAGTTAATACAAATTATGTGAAAATCATTTAGTCCCAATAGAGAATACATAAAGAACTACTTTAAAAAGAGGAAATACTGTAACCCTTGGGGCAGAGACCTGTCCTGACAGGGTGGTACTATGTGGACCAGGGCTCCAGGGAGGTCTGGAGTATATGCGTTCCCAGCTGTATGCTCTGGGCAGCAATTTTTCTTTCACTTGCACGACTTTAGCTATGTATAGGGTTTTCTAACTACCTGTCTTCATAACACTGTTGGCCAATTTTCCCAGGATACAGGCACATTTATCACAAAGTCAAGCGATTTCCACCATTTCCTAACTGGATTGATCTTTACCCTCTGTTTCCTGCAGTGCTTATCTGATCATTCCTCAGGCAGCCATAAAACTTGCATGTTAATGTCTAGCAGGATACCTTCCTTCCAAGGCAGGTCAAATACTATCATTCATCAACCATTTTTAATCTAAGCTCAAATTAGTAAGCAACGCACAAAATAACTGGCAGAAAGAAAGGCAATGTGCATACATTTAAACTCAGTCTCCAAGAGCATTCTGCAGAAAACTGCAGCGTACTGATGCTCACTGCCCAAGCAGGGCACAGCAGCTCTCTCTGCCTAACAGTTTATACTCAGCGCATACACGGAAACATATGCACATGCTCACACGTATACACTTTTTTCGTATGGAGGTGAAATTCACAAAACATAACCACTTTAAATGAACAATGCAGTGGCATTTAGTACATTCACAATGTTATGCAACCATCGCTTCTAACTAATTCACATTTTTTAAACAAAAATATTTTAGAGGTAACCATCAGTAAAGTGGATCAGTGCTGTGTAGCATATGTAAAGCAACCAACATATGGAAGTAATACAATTTTGCAAATGAAATCAAATTTCTTTATAAAATTAGATATTTTTTAAAGAAAATAGTGTAAAAATTAGGTAAAATGGATACTCTCATACATTGATGTTAATGTATAAGCTGGTATAATTCATTAAAAAAATCAATTTAGCAAAAATATCAACAGCTTCGAAATGATATACACTAATTCAATTTCACCGCTGGGGCCTTTCACTAAAAAGCAATTTTAAAGGCAAACAATGCTTTATAACTAAAGATGTTTCATACAGTCTTATTAAAAATGAAGAATAGACGAAAAAGAGAAATACAAAGAACATAGCAACAAGCCAAATACCTGAAAGTGAAAGACTAGAAAATACACATTCACATGGCAGACTGTGCAGCCATTAAGGGTATCCATGAGTGCTTTGAACTGTCTGGACCTAAGTTTAAAAATTCAGACATACAATTTTATCATAGTATTTTTTAACTATGCCAACTTTGTTTTTTAAAAAAATTACATAGTCTGTGTAAAAGAAAACAACAAACTCTTCAAAAGTCATGTGTCTTTGGTGGGCGGGGGTGTGTAAAAGACACCCTGGAGCCCTGTCTTGGCCTCTTACAGGCAGTGTGCTGATGCTCCTGGAGCACAAGCTCTCGCTCAGACTGCTTGGCTTTAAATTCTGGCTCTGTTCTTGAATCCTGGACTTCTGGCTGTGTAACCTTGAACAAGTGACTTATGCTTCTCTATGCCTCAGTTTTCTTCATCCATAAAGTGTAAAGGAATTCTAAGTACATGTGAAGTACTTAGACTAGTGCCTGATGCACATAAGCTCTCAAGAAATGTTACTGGCATTTAATTATCTGCTGTTCCTAATAATAGTCAGCGCAAATACAATGCAGATCTTAAAGATTACAACTTTCACAGACTGTATCTTAAGAGATCAACTGAAGTCTGTAAGCAGTCCAAACTTCAGTAAATCTTAAGGAACTATAGTGTTTGTCATGTCATGTTGCTTTATACTCAGGTTTAGGTATCCTTTGGAGTACTTACCTTAAGCTTGGCATTTCTTATTGTGTGGTCTTTTTACTAATCTCTCCATCCTCTCCCCACCTCTTTTTTAATATAGGGGACATGAGAGAAGATATTGATTACATTTAACTTGATTGCATTAAATTGAGGCGAATTTGGGGAATCTAGAATGACATATGAGTTTTTCATTAATGGTAATAATGCCATGTTATAGAGTGTGAGAAATACTTAACCATGAGTAGCCATGTAATACAGTATTACCCAGATATGACTACCAGCTGTAGCAAGTTTTGGCTATGATGCGGCCACTAGCAATTACCCATGGGGTTCTTTTGCCTGAATGCTACAACTCATTTGACTCTCTGCAGCTCTTGTCCAGGGATAGAATGTATTTTTAAGACCTAATGGAATATAACTAATTATGGATACAGAATTGGTACCCTTCTGTCATTTTCCTCCAGGGCAGCGGTGACAGTAAATATCTTACTATTAACTCAATGAAAATAGCTTCAATGCCAGCATATCTGTACATAGCTGCCAAGTTCAAAATCCAGCAGGTATTACTCTTATATTTCTTTCATTTAATTTTCTTAGACTGATCTAAGAAATACCCAAAAAGGACCCCTTGTGATGAGATTATGTGTGGCATATAACAACAGACAAAAGGAAAGGGCAGCTGCAATGATTAATCTTTTACAATCATATACAATCTTTCTTACCAGGATCTCAACATGTTTTGCTGATAAGATTTCTGCTTTTTGCACCATTAAAAAAAAAAAAGTCACTCATGTCTTTTTAAGATTGTCCCTAAACAAGACAGCATTAGCAAGTAATGTGGCAGTAACCACACTAGGTTCTTGGAAGTCTGTCCAACAGGTAACTGTGTGATAGCAATAGGGTCTGCCTCCCGTCAACAAGTACAGAGGCATGTACAATAGTGCCTAAAGCAGTGTGGGTGAGGCCAGTGGGTACTCAAAACAGTGCTTGTGGCCCAGAAAAGCCAAAACCTAACTTCACCCAACACAGAGGCTGTTCTATCCTTGAATCTCAAGGGAACTGGCAATAAAAATAGGAATCTCCCCTTCTACCTGACAATATTTAAAATTATGGCACTCTTTACTGTACAAAGACTTGAAAACTTCTGAAGCCTTAAGAAAGCCATGGTAACAGTAATACAAGTAAAAGGATAATGTAGGTTTCCTTCTTTTACCCTCTTGAATTTATGCGCTGTCTTTCAAGGAATCTTTGTGTTGTCAGAATATCCTTATCAAATTTTTTTTTTCTGTAGGAGCAGCCCTGATGTCAACTAGGGGCAAGTAACTGCAAAGTAAGAGAAAAAGAACCCACATGCCTTTTAAATAAAGCATGTTCTCCTCACTCATTCGGAGCACCACTCATGGGGTTCAGTAATGTCCCTGAGGGAGTATGTGTCAGCAACAAATATAAACAGTGGAGAAAGGAAAAGAGAAGGTGAAAAAAGGAAGTGTGCCACAGACTCGCTCACTTCTAACATGCTACTCTTTTGCTTACAAACCAACGATGGCTTCTTATTACCTGCTGAATGAAGTCTGAACTTCTCTAATTTTCAGATTCTACAATCTAATTCCCAGCTAAGCAACTATGGATTCGACATTAAAATGAAGCTTCTCTCAGCAATGTCCCCTATCCACGCTCACACCCCACTCACTCACTACTCACTGTCCTCTGCAGAAATAACAAGACTCAGCCATCACTTTACAGAGAACCTTTCACTGTTATTATGTCCTCTTCTCTACTTTCTAATATTCAAATCTTAGTATGCTTCCCAGCTCTCTCCCGTATCTCTACTCTCAGACCCTTCTGTCCAAGTTGATTTTTCTGAACTCCTTCAGATTTAACCACTCAATTGTGTCTTCATATTTCATTTATGGCTGCAAATGAGAGCAGCTTATTGCTCTAAACAAATTGTGTTATAGGTCAGTATTCGTACATAGTTTGCCTCTCAACTATTGAGTCAATTTAATTGCTGATTCAAAGAAATGTTTATGGAATAAGGGGAGACAGTGAGAGTAGAAGAGAAAGAGATAGAGAAACAGAAAGAGAAAAACTCAACCCAGAGAGAACAAAAAATGCAGAGACAAAAAATACTCTAAGAGAAATAATTTTATAAAATTATAGAAAGAGTTTTGTCCCAACAACTGTCTCAACTGCAGACTACATCACACACACACTGCCAATGCCTACACTAGATCATTCTTTTCTCCCAACCAGTGTATCAATCAAAGCTTCTAACAAATGGTGCACTCATTATTTTATCTGAAATGATGCAAAAGCCCAAACGTTTTTTGAAAGACTAAATGCTCTATAATGTATCACATACATACATATGTATATATGTTATAAACTGAACATCAGAACTTGGAGAGAAGAGAAATCATCTGTGCTGACAAATCCACTTTCTGATTTGTCATAAATTTCTCAATTCTAAAAACATTACCAGATTGTACGGAATAATACACCTGTTCTTATTTTTTTTAAAGTAAATCATATGCTGTTAATAAAGTACCAATGTTACATAAAGAAACAACAGTGCTGTTAGTGCCAAGAGATTTTTATCAAGTAAGAGTTTTGATTGAAACAACTACTTGAGTCAAGAATAGCCTCTATATTATGTTCCTAGAGCCAAGATAATTTCACCATCTGAAGCCATTTTTGTTGGGTATGTGGCAACTTCTGCACAATTTCACTTAATTCTGGTATTCTAGTCACACTTTCTCCAAAGCTAAGGCTTCCTAGATAGTCTGAAAGGTTTACGTGACAAAAAGTTACTATTACATTAGACCATGTTGGCTTCTGTCTTTAAGAATGTAAAAGGGTGGAAAAGGAAGTCTGTCAGTTTTTCTATTGTTCCTATTTTCAAAAGGGAAGGTTTATGGGAGGAAGTCAAGGCAGATCGCTCAGACAAAGTAAATTTCATAGGATCTCTGCTTGCATCTTTGCAATTATTTCCAGTAGGAAGCCAACTAAAGCCTAGAGCGAACTGGTTTTAATTTCCCAACATGCTTAAAAACAGCATCCAGCTTCTCTACATCTGTACCTTTTACCACAGCTTAAATGAAGGCTTGCTTTCTTCTGTGAAGGCTTCCCTCACTCATAACCCTCCCATCTCTCTCCAAAGTCTTACCACTTCTTTATGCCAAGGGCTTTAACTCCAGCCAATGTGCTAATGATCCCTAAATCTTCAAGAGTCTACCTTCTATTCTGATATATATAGCTCCTCTAAGAATGCACATTTTTCCTGTCCTTGTTTTTTATTTCACCACTTCTTTCTTTATGCTTCTTGTTGTAAGAGACTCAAATTCACTGATTGAGGCTGGCATAAGTAACTTAATAAAATATTCATATAAGGCTTCTCTCTTGAAATGCATGCAAGTTTTTATCTCTAAATATCACCTGGGTATCACATAGATATGTCAAAATCAACATATCCAAAATGGAACTATTCCCCTTCCACCCTGCTCTACAGTCTGCACCCT